TTCTTTTATATCATAGCTTCTTCTTCCCAAGAAGGATGAATATATAAGTCTAGCTATGAATACATAAGTCCAGATTCAGACTTTCGGACTTGTTCCCTGCATCTAAATCCATGGAAATTAAATCTTCATTAACCAAATTTCTGTAGATTAACTTTGGCATAAGTGGGTAATGTATGTTTGAATGTAATGAAGAAACCTGATTATTTATAGGACATTGCATTTCTTAGAATATACCTAATGTATATTACATAATAGCAAGAGTACTTAAGGAGATAGAAGAGATCATTTTGGATTCAGTTATCAAGAACTTTCGGTACACCCAAACTAGTGAGGAAAGGAAACCATTTTTCAGAAGAATCAATTATTTTTTCCATTTGTGGCATCCTACAAAAGACTTTCAGACATCATATCTGTAGGAAAATACTGCTGTTAGAAGTTATTAGAATTGGATCATACTTGGATGTCTAGTTATATTTCTGCTGTCTGGAATGTAGACTGGTTAAGTCTATATTAGAATAGAAGTATCCATTTGTGGATGAAATAGGTGGTGTAGCCCTTCATTTTTCCCCTACAAACAAATAAGTATTGACAACTGTAGCAAGATATATGTTTAACAAATACAAAATATATATCTTATCAAGAGTTGAAAAAATAAAATGCTGCTCCAAATATAACATAAACTTAAGTACAACTGTAACAACATCCAGAATCTTCAGCGCCACAATATGAGATGCTATAAAACACACATGATATAACATCACCAAAATTTTTTATTGCTAATAGAACACATACAGAAGTAAAAAAGTTTATTCTTCTAAGCTGCAAGGAAAACCCTATTGTTCTCAGGCAGCAGCTACTTTTTCTGTATTCTCCAATTTTGGAAGTAGTTCAAGATATAAGCTCTGTCCAGAATGCTATGTAATCTACATTCAAAAGGAGACAAAGAGAGGGAAGGGGAATGTGGAAACAAAGACTGATGATAAAACCAAATAGTAACTCAGCAGATACTAACTCATAGCGGACTATTTTTTTTTAAAGTTTCATTTTTCATAACCTGACATCTGAGGGATAGGAAAAAGCAGTTGATTCCAATCTGCCTGGAGAGCAACACCCTTAGTATGGTGTGGAAGAAAGCATAGGAACAATGGGAAAAAAAAAAGTTACAGGTCTGTCATCAGCAGACCACAGAAGGTTGTCAAATTTTGAGATACAAGGTTGGAAGACAAAGGACACTTACAATGAGAGCCAGAACATTAACATACTTCAAGCAGATGGTAAAGACTACATCAATAGAACTAATTCTTAATAAGAGACAAGTGTGTGCATGGATAATTTTTTTTAAAAGTACTTAAGAGCTGTACTTTATGAAGTATAGTAAATGCCTTTAACGGAATTCAGAAATGAGGTTTTAAATTTAAAAATTCCCTAGATCACATATTAAAAACTGAATCCTTAAGACAAAACTCACAGATGCAGCATTAATTCTAAACACTGTTTATTCTTCAGTTATCCAAAACTGTCTTAAATATCATAATTGATTCCCTTCTTAAAATAAAACTCTGGTGTTTTCTCTCAGTACTAGGGAATTGCCTTATGATGACACTATCTCATCACACAGCAAGTCACTGAAGCCTTTAGGTCATCTAGTGTGGCTTACTGAAGAAAGAAATTAGCAGAATAAGGCAAACTGACATATTTTAAAAAAAAAAGTTAGAGTTTCTTGAATCTCAATATATAGTTTTTCTTGCCAGAGTAAGTCCCTCCTACCCATAAGCTAGTTAAGATGCTGGTTTGAGCAACCTGGTTAGTAGAAAGAGTCCCTGCCCATGGCAGGGGGGTTCATACTAGATGATCTTTAAGGTCCCTTCCTACCCAAACCATTCTATAATTCTATGATGAAGGTTTTTTCCTCCTCTCTGAAACAAAACCACCACAAAGCTTTATAATTTCTGACTATACCAAACACAGAGATTCATTTCTTCAAAGCATAATTGGGTTAAACATAAGTAATCCAGTATGGAAAAGCAATTTATTTTTTAAGCTGGTAGGGTAAAATTTAACTTGGCAGCAGAGTAGAGAATACATAATCAGACCACACCAATAACATTGAGAAATAAGCAAATTTTAGCAAGACTGAACATAAGCCAGCAATGTGCCCTGGCAGAAAATAAGTCCAACAGTCTCCTTGGCAGTATTAATTGGAACACAGCCAGCATATCAAGGACGGGATTCTCACTCTCTACTCAGAACTTACTAGATCACACCTAAAATACAGCATCAAGTGTTGGGGCTCCCAGGAGAAGGGGGATATCAATAAACTGGAGTGAAATCAGCAGAGAAGCACCAAGCTAGTCAGGGTGTGGAGCACCTTCTCCATCAGGAGAGGCCGAGGGATGAGGGCTTGCTCAGCCTGGAGAACAGACTGCTTTAGCACCTAACAGCAGCCCCCTCATATCTGTGAGGAGGTGATCAAGATGACAAAGCCAGGCTCCTCAGAGTGGTGCTTGATGAGAGCATGACAGACACAAGCTGAAACCAGAGAGTTTCAGTCTGGATAGAAGGAAAATCTTTTTCACCCTAAGGCCAGTCAAGCAGTGGAACAGTTTGCCCAGAGAGGCTGTACAGTTTGCATCATTGGTTTTCAAGACCACAGAATAAAGCCCTGAGCAACCTCACAGCTGGCACGGCTTTGAGCAGGAGGTTGGAGACCAGAGAGTGCTTGAGCAGGGGGGCTGGACAAGATGACCTCCAGAAGTCTCTTCCAACCTCAACCATTCTGTGATTCTCCAACTTCCTGAGGTCTCTTACAATCTGAGTTTTCCTATGAATTTACCAAATAAAAATTTAAAATATTAAGCTAGTTCTAAAAACAAAGTACTCCATTTGTTTTTGTAAGTTTATTCAGATTTCTAATGATTATTTTAAGTAGTAACTTAAAACTAGGAGTAAAAATAGGTCTGGTTTTAATTTAAAACCCACTCAAAACCCACAGAACATTTGTTAGAATCAGGAAACTTCTAGCATAGAGTTGGAAAACAATTTGTCTGTGACTAATAAAGCTCACAGTATTGGGGGGAGGGTGGGGGGTGTGTGGAATAATCCCTACTTTCTTATTTTAACAATGTCAGTGTGAAACACTGTGCTGCCATATGCCAGATGCTTAAAATTGGACTGAATTTTGGACAGAGTCTTCAAAAAATAAAAAGATTTACATAAACAAGTAATATCAAAATAAAAATATAAATCAAATAAAACTATTGTATAAATAACAAAAAAACCAGAAAATTAAAGGGAGTGAGAGACAAAATCATTGGTTTCCTGTTTTAATGCAGAATTATACAATAAGAAACACTCAATACAGTCACGTGTATTTTCCCAAAAATACTTGGAAAAAAATTCAGCACTTTGAACTATATTTTAGTTTGACTTGTAAACAGATCTCTCAAAAGCTAAGGATACAGCCCCAAAAATCTAGAGATGAGTGCATTTTTTTCAGTTAACTGATAAAATTCTGCCTCCAGTGAAATAATTAACTATGAAATCCCTATGAAAACCTAGCCAGGGAAGTTGGAAGACCTGAGTTGTTCTTCCTATTTCTATCAGCAAACCCCTGTTAGGTCTCTGGCAATCCAACCCACTATCTTGTGATGTAAGTTTCTCATACACAAAAACCTTTCAGTTAAAAATTTTCTTTTTTTTTTTTTTTTCCCCCTCAAGCTTTTAGAGTTGAACCACTGGACCTTAAAAGTTATTTGCCTTTGGAGAAATCCACAAACATCTAAAGGATGTTTAATGCTCTTTAAGAAAAGATTAAGTCTAACTAGTGCTTTCAGAATTGAAATCTGAAAAATAAAGTTCATTCAACTATAAGATGTGTCTTACAGCTTAAGCTGAACCTGATTAATTAAGGAAAATAATCATCATGTGTTGATGGAAAAACCTACCTCCTGTGTTAAGAAACCTTTATTTAAACACTCTTCATATTCTATGAGTTTATTTAACAGAAGGAAAAACAGACTAGCAAGTTTAATTTAATTCTGTGGTTTAATGACTAACTCAAAAGAATGTGTATTGCATTCATTTTCCAGGAATGTTAATATAGATCACTTAGAAACAAGAAGAGTTGTAACAGTACAGCCAGTCCATAAACAATGCTTAGTGAGTGACTATGGTTACTACCATTAGCAGAAGTCTGAGACTTGGGCCTGTAACCAAGTTTATTTACGGAAGGGGAAATCCTTCTAAGCATACTCAAGAGACACTGAATCTTGTCTATGATTCTGTTACTTCAATTTTCTACCACAGAAATAACCAGAATTTGGGTTTCCCACTTTTGTGTTGATGTACTATAAAATGGTCAAAGAAGGGGCCCCAATATTTTCCTAGAATAATGAAACTGATATAGTGTATACTATATTAATAACTCAGAGTTACCCTGTCGTATAAGAGCTCAAGTTCCTGAAAGAAAATTTATGAGCTGTTTTTACTTCTGAATGGAAAACAATGATTAGTGTAATAGTTCAGAAACATTGTTTAAATTATCACAAGCCTTTCCTCCCCCCCAATATGTAATACATCAATAATTAATGCTTCAGTGATACAAAAATTAAACATAGCTAATCATTGATATCAACAAACGTAGGATAGAGAACTAGGTTAAAGGCAAAATGATAGCATTTGATGCATGCTTAAGTCTTTTCTCATGTCCTTTTATCCTATCTTAATCTGAAAGATGACATCTAGGCTCAGTCTAACTTGTGCAAAGCCCAGCGGGTATTGTCATATCAAAAGCTAGACAGCGTGCCTTTCCCAGCTGCAAAAGGCTGACAGTCAAGTTTGGAAAGGATCAGCTAACACAGCTATCGGTGCTATTCCAGAAAAGAAAAGAAGGCAGAAACATCTGTGAGGAATCACTTCCTTTTTACTTTGCCTGTGAATATTTAGCTTTTAGGAGAAGGAAAGAGCGAGAAAACATAGCTCAGAGAGAAGATAGAACCTACCTACTGTGATACTCCCTGTTTTGGTCTGAAGGCTGGTGTTACCTATTAGGAAAAGAGAAAGGGAAAAAAATGTTAAAAGCGTATTATTTAACTGGTTTCTGAAATTATAACAAAGGCTAAAGTAGTAGTGTATCTGATTTGCATATAAAAGCAAAATAGCATAAACTAGTTATATTGCTTGAATATTACTGCTTTACAAACAAAAATCTCAACACGTGGGTAACAATGAAGTGCTTCCAGACAAGAAAACACTCAAGTAAAGCTTAAAGACACAGACTGGATGTGAGGGAGAAAAACGCAGAGCAGCATTACGAGGTTAAAGCACAATATTTTCTTATTTTATTTTGGGCCAAGTTGTTTTTTTTTTTTAATTGCTCTGATGTTTGCAACAGCACTATGGATGATTTAAGCACTTTAATAGGATGACTAACATAACTAATTTCTATTTTCCTCTTTTATATACATACATACCCCCCCGCCCCACCCCCCAGAGGAAATTTTTTGCTTTATCCTCAAAGGTTACTTCCTGGATTCACTGAACATTACCTACTCCCTCCAAACTTATGTGCATGACAACCCCTTGTCAATGCTTTTCACCGACTTCAGTGAGGTCCAAGTATGTTGCACAAACTGGAGAACATCAAACAAAAGAGTGTGTAAGGCATAAAACATAGAATGGTCTCCTACTGAACTTGCAATACTTCGAACAGGCACTAGTGTTTTAACCTTAAAAATCTAAAAATACATACTCTTCCCCTTTACCTATGGCATGAAGAGAATCCATGGAAGGAGGACAGATGCACCTCGTAACAGAAGAGTCATCTATACTACTAATACACATATACTACTAACAAAGTTGGTAGAAACTTCCACAGTTCCATGTATGTTACGCATACACTGCCTTGGAAAAAAAGACGTTAAATTAAAAAAACTGAACCACAACATCTTATTCCTGCCAGTCCCTCATGCTCCCAGGAAGATAACAGATCAAAAAGTAAGGTTGATCACAGTAATTTAGTCCAGTTTAGTAATACAACAATTTTCAGATTTTTTGGAAGAGGCCTTTAAAATTTGCAAAAATCGAGCTCTGCTCCCATCTTCTGTAGTTACACAGTAGTAAACAGCCATTAGGGTAGAATGCATTCCACTGTACACGACCTGTAGTGTTTTTCTTGGTGGTCCACGGGCTGAAAGCTAGACAAGCAGTCTTATCAACAATAGTCTTAAATTCATCATTTCAAGCACATACTGTACAAAATACTTAGGGGTTCTGAAAATCAGTCAAAACAAAACCATATTTCAACGAACTTGAAAGACATTTGGCTTTACTGTTTTAAAAGGCATAATATGATGATCCCACCCTTTTCCCCATTTTATCATGACTAGTACTTATTTTTGTATCAACTACAAAAAAAGCCTAGGGTTTTGTCAGACAGCAACTCCCATGGTGCTGAAGCTAGATCATATTCTGAATATAGCCCCTGGGACTTGTGGATTTGCTGGTCTGTTCTTTGTTTTTCTGGTTTGTTGGTTTTTTTTTTTGTTTTCTGTTTTGATAAGCAGGTCCTTGAAAAATATTAAACATGTTGAAATCAAACTCCTATTAACCACAAACTTATATGGCAGATAGGATGAATGTTGCATAATGTAAGCATATTAGTGTGATAGGCTCACTTCAAACATTTAGCTAGAACAAAAGTTGCTTTTAAAGCAAATAGGAGTGTCCTGCTGTGTTGGATCTGCACTGTCTACAGACAGTACACAGAAGCGTACTTTTGGTCATGTAATTGTTCCATGAAGGCCAATGCTTAACTTAAAAATGTTAAGCTTTTTTTGGTGTTTTCAAGTATTTTTTGGACATGTCAAAAGCAAAGAGAGAAAGACTTGACTAGAGGTAATTACTAGTTTGATTATTACATTCAACTGACTTCAGCATTGTAGTGCAATACTATAAAGTCAAAAAAAAATAATAGTTTTAACAGAATATTGATGATAGTTGGCTTAGTGTTTCTTTTTTTATTGCTTCTGAAGAAACAGTTCTCTTTTCTATCATGTACAAGCTTTGCCTCTCCATAAACATTGTAAAACTTCAAACTACAGTATTGCAAGTCAGGATCAGCATAGGACCAGGATGCAAAAGATGACTTTTGGGATATAAAGGCATCACTTCACATTGTATTATTTCCATTCCTTCAAACTGTTTTGAAGGCTCTTAAGGTGGCAGGGTTATTCTGATGCACAGAAAAGGCAAATAAACCACTATGCAGCTTTTTATCACTTTGCCTTTGGATTTCAAATTTGTATCAGACTAAAGTAGACACCTGCATAAAAGGTAACAAAAATAAAATTGTTTTCTACAATCCCACTTTATATACAGTGAAGTCCAGAAACATAGCTGAAATACACGGCACATACTTTGGCATATCAGATTCTTTTCAGAAGGGATTATAGAGTGTCAAGCTCAAGCATTATACAGTACTACCGTTGAAACATTGCGGATTTTCTACTTTGTCTTATTCAGGTCACTAACAGTATAAGGCAGTTATATGTTCACTTTTTCCTATATATTAATTGGTGTGTAAATACATAAAGTAACTTCAATAACCACGTTTTCCAGTGTGATTCCCCCACATAATGAAATAGTTACTAGACTAAGACAAAAGAAAAAGTCAAAAGCAAATATCAAGTCCTGCACGCAAGACAAACCAACCCTGTAAAGCAGTAAAAAATTGAGTGCTGACTGTTTGCAAAGAAGCTTTGCAGGTAAGGACCTGGGCATCTTCATGAACATCAACTTCAGTATGAGTCCGTAGAGGAGCTCAACTGCATACTGAGCTGTATGATTAAGAGTATAGCCAGCAGGTAAAGCCCTCTTGTGAGACTATTTGGAATATTGTGTCCAATTTGGGGCTTCCCAGTCAAAGACACTGATGTAATGACATGCGGCCAGAGAAGGGTATTGAAAAGATTAGGGGCACAGAACACACTATAGATGCTCAGAGAGCTGGGTTTGTTCTGTTTGAAAAGGAGAAGGCTGAGGAGGAATCTTGTGATCTTCAACTATCTAATGGGAGGGTATAGAGAAATAAGACAGACTCTTCTCATGGTTAAGCAGCAAGAAAAAGGGGTAACGGATACAAGTTGCCACAATGGGAATTATGATAAAAAAAGGAAAGTTTGTTTTCCCACCAGAAGGATAATTCAGGACTGGAACAAGTCACCCAGAAAGGTCATGCAAACTCTGTCCTTGAGAATATTCAACACTCAACCAGACAAGACCACGAGCAAGTCTGCTCTAATTAAGCTCACTTTAAGCATTAGCTTGGACTAGATGTCAAATTCCTTTCCAACTTAAACTATTCTGTGGATAAAATAAATTAATAATTAATGCAACTCAATCCAAGACTTTGGCACAGTCGCAAAGAGGGGTTTCCTTTTACTCCTATGTTCCCCTCTGTGGAGAAGTTTTACTATAATGTTATTGCCCCTTGGAGAAAGTAGTACAGTTCTCAGTCTCAGAGATGCTGCTCTTTTGTTTTTCAAGTGTCAACTTGAAAGATCAATGTCACCTGACATCTCCAATGCCTATTACTGAAACTGATAAAAATGACTCAAAAGCAATTTCTTCAAAATAATGCATTATCCATTTGCCATAGAAGTATGAAGCATGCAAAAGAGGAATTAAGAAAGCTTCAGCACTGACAGCGTTGGAATTGTACGGCCAGAGATTCAACTACAAAATGGGTCTCAGGCAGGTTTGTAAAGTTTGTGTTTCCCTGATTTCAAAGTTCTCAGTGCAAAAGCAATGAAGTCTAGCTCAGTTTTGTGCATAGATGTGCTGGTTTTATGCCAACTATAATAGCAACATACTGTCAGCTATAGGGAATAGTGGGCTTAATTGCCCAAGAAACAATCTGTCCAAGTGTTTACAAACAAAACTATGACTAAAATTGAGCTACTTCATGAGCAAAGACTAGAAGTGAAAGTGTCCAATTTTTTTCTAATATACAATTACAATAGGAGTTTCTCTCTTCCGCTAATATATGTGTGTGTGTGTATACATGTATATGCAATATAATAATTTAAAAGACTTTAAAAGTATTTGCTCTTACTATTAAAACATGATTGAGGAGCATGATGTTTTGCAGAAAATATTCTTCTGAAAAAATAGAAGTACCAAACAAATGTTAATGTGCAATTGTTTTTAAAAGAGACAGCTAAAATAACGTTAGATGTTCCAGACTCATTTAGTAAACAGCTCAGGAAAATAATCCTGAAGTAACACAAGAAATGTCTGTATGATTTGGATACAATTCTACTTGTTTTCACATTGTTCTTCAGCTAAATGACAATAAGGCATTACTAAGGAAGTAAGTCACTAACTACAGCAGTTATTTAATTTTGGTACCAACAAAACAAAAATAAACTTTTGGATGTGCAGAGAGGCACTAACATGCTCACAAACTGATCATTCCACAGTATCATTATATCAGTTTGAAGTTAGAAAAAAAAAAAAAAGCAAAGCAAACCAGCTTATCATACAGAAGGACCAGTAATAATACAGTCCACATGTCAGAAAAATACAATAAGAAAAAAAAAACACCATTCTTAAATTTACTATAAATAGACAAAGGAGTTGCTCCTTTAAGGAAGAAACAAGAGCCATTTCTCAAGCAAGATGACAACACAAAACTGCTAAGAAATTACAGCATGTCATTTATCAGGCCTATAGCTGGAAATCTGGAACTCTGACTGACCCGAGTAATTTTCTCTCTTTGTATATCCTCCAGTTTGTTTTACTTAATGTTAAAACCCCACAAACGCATTACAGCACAGTCAGAATTCAGTGGGGAGTTTGTTAAATTAGAAAACCACACCAGATTCCAACCTTGACTGCTGTTTATATAAAAGACAATCAAGTTAGTTTTAGTTCTAGGTGAAGGACATTAAAGGGTAGATGGATTATAGACTTTTCCCCCCAAAGAACAGGAACTGTCACCACTGTATTAGCACAGGGTGCCAGGACATACACAGAAAATTTCTGCTAAAAACTTCTAAATACAACCAAGTTCTACCATAGTTCTTCACAGATGCTGTAAGAATTATTTCTCCTATGAAGAAAATAAAGGATGGAGAGAGGGGAAGAAAAGCCTCCTTACTACTTTTAGTATAATTTTCATTGCTGAATTTTAAAATATTTTTACATCCTTAGTATGTGTCATGTTTCTTTCCTATAATATAGGTTGTTTTCTGCCATTTCACACGTGTGCTTATAACATTGTTGTTAAAAATAAATACAGTATGCTACATGGTGAGTTAATTCTCATCAACAAATACAGAACTGTTTTGTTCATATATGGTGCACAGTTGATTTAGTGACAGTTTATAGCACTAGTCCATTTGTTACTGTGAACATTATGAATACCTTCAAAGCAACTAAATTTGTGACACTATTTCCTTAACCATGTGACAGTATTTCCTTCTTACCGTGAATACTTCCCAGCAAAATATCACCAGCTACTGAAGACAGAGATGATGACTCTGCGTAGAGATACTTAGTTTTCAGCAGCCCATCTTCAGTAGATATGTTGATGGATGTCCCCTGCAGCTTCTCTATATTCACACTCTAAGAGAAACAAACTTAAATAAACATAATGGAAAACTTGTCATCACAGTTTGAAAAGGCAGAGGGAAAAAGAGGCAAAACAAATGGAAAGCAGTTGTTGGTGCAGAATAAACCTAATCAAGTTCTTAATTAAAAGCTACACAAGACAAAACAAACAAAAAAAACTTTTTATCCAAGAACTCTGATCAACAAGTTAATAATTCATAGGGATGTTGTAAAGAATTATTACATCCATCATACAGGTGAAGAACCCAAATAGTCAAATGGATAAAAGGAAAACTTGATTTGGTTTTTAAAAACCAAAACACTTCATTTTGAAAAGTAAAAAAAAAAGGATTAGCTTTAATAATGAAGACTTAACATTCATACAGCATTATGACACTTAAAGCACTGGTAATCAGTTTTCTGCCACCACATACTGAAACATCCACCATCTTTGTTACACACAGCTATTTATTCAGATTTTCAACTGGCTGACTTTGTAGACATAGCTTTGGTAAAGGTTTGCAAAAAAAGCCACAGCTTCTCTTTTTCTCAGCATTATTGTTCATATTACCTCAGTTAATGGGGCCTCTATTCTTGGACTTAAGCCTCAAGCTATACAAAGCCTTGAAAAATGAGGGATAAGATCTCCATTTCTACTTCTGTTCAAGAGAAACGGAAAGAAGGGATAACATTTGAAAAGTTGCACTGTGGATAGATTTCAGGAATAAAAGGTGATAGATGAGATTACCTATGTACAAGTCACAAATTGTTTGACATAATCTATGTCTATCTAAACAAAACAGAATAAATCACATGCTTCTGCAACTACCATATGAATTTAATTCTATTCTTCCTCAGTTAAACTTGATTTATGATGAAATCATGCAATAGTTCATACTTAGCCCCCACTCAATATGTTTTTATTTTTGCTTATGCAGACTTTAAGTTATTGCACAAAATCCCTACTCATTACATGAAATGATATATGGCCTTCTAGATCAAACTGTGCCTTATGCCAATTTATCCTTAAATCCACCTTGTCATTTTAGCATTGTCATCTTGTAGAAAAAAAGTTAATACAAAAAAATAAGTCTGCAGACCCTCCCAGTGTTATATTACATAAAGAATAAGCTATGGATGAAGTAAGAGGTATTCTGATGAACAGCAACTAGTGTTGCACAACTTCTATGCTCTATTGTATCCCAAGAAGTGAGCTAAGGAGGTTGGTTTAGTATGGACTGTATGACAGCCAAATTATACTGTGACCTTACCTATCCATACATACTGAGCTTTACGCCATCTTTACACCTTAAGTCATAAGATTACAAAATGGACTATTGTCTTAAGACTTTTGACATGATTATACAATACAAAGTAGGTCTCCAAGAATGTAACAAGCTACATTAACCTTTAAGAAAATCTGTGACAGAAAATATCTACAATCTCTGCAGGTGATGCTGCTTAAAGCTATGCTACAGAATCTAAGTACCAACAGTAAACAAATCCAATGATACTAAGGCATAGTCTGTCACTACTCAAAGTGACAGCAATTCAGTTTTTCAATCTTTTGATGTTTCTAACAAAACTCTAACAAGCAGAGACCTTAACAAACATAAGTCTGCATTGCACCTGTCCTAGGAATGCATCCCACAAAGTACTCCACTACTCCGACACCCAGGACGGCAACGTGTAAACCTGCTGTGGTTCATGGTCAAAACAACAAGTAAAAGAAAAGCCACTGTCATTTCAGGTTCTATGATCTAAACCTGTTCCAAATAGAGTTAAATGACTTGCAAAGAACCTCTCCAATTTTAGCAGGGCCATCCTGCTATCAGGATAATGAAAACAGAGTGAGATACACTCTGAGGCAGGGGGGGAATACAATAAATAAATTAAAAATATCTGTATAGTTTGGGTGCAAACTGGCTGCCTTGTGGCATT